TCATTACAGTATATGAGATAAGATATAGAGAGTCTACCAGTACTGGTCCATACAATATAACTAACACTTATTACAGTATAGTAGGATTGATACCTAATACTAGTTATACTATTGGAGTGAGGGCATATACTAGTATTGGACCAGGAGAATGGACAAATAAAATTGTTTCAACTAATGTCATAGATATAGGTAATGTTCAATTGTAAAGTCACAGCTATAGATCTAACATTATTTACTTTCATAGCAAAAATCAATAAAATCAAAGTACTGTAAAATAGAATTTATTTTCTTAATTTAGGTACTTCATCTCCTACATGTACCTCTGCATCCATGAACATATCAACTTTATACATATCCCCTTTACTGGGTATCTCTTTATTTATCAACATGATATTGGTATGTGTGGTGATTGGGATGTGCTGTAAGAAGAAGATAGCGTATAGTGTCAAGTAAGAGATAGAGGGAGGAGGGTGAGGTGGAAAGAGGGAGATCGAGAGAAGAAGGACAAATACAGATCAGCCTATTTTTCTTATATTGTGTTTTTCTAGTCGTATAAAATCTATCATAATAAAGAATAATCTAGAAGATGACTATGCTGTCCTAGAGTAAGTAAATTAAAATAAAATGACATAAACTAATAATTCTATAACATAACAGCCCCCCAGTAGTTCAAAATCCACAAGATGTTATACATGAATTACCTTTGGACTTGTCATCACTTGAACCTCCACAAAATGACTACACTGTACAAGCAGAGCAAGAAAATCAATAATAACAATTATTATTAGCCTTATCTATAAACAGGCATATACAATTTGCAAGTAGTTAGTATCAAGGAATATATATGTGTGTGTGTGTGTGTGCCTGTGAGGGTCATGGACATACATGTACATGTACATGCAGTGTTATTGTGTATATCTAGATACATATAGAGCTATGTTTACTTTTAATGCACAAGTAATTTTGTTTGCATCAAATTCTTTTCCCATTCCTCAAGCAACCGAGCTGCCCTAGATCTAAACAGTAGTGCTCTTTTGGGAAGTGCCTTTGTATTATAATAAATTAATTTATTTGTACACTATCAGCATAATGATGAGTCAATGCTGTATTGGTCACAAGACAGTTCATGTTTTGGTATAAGAACAACGACTATTATCAAACTGAATGTACACAAGCTTTGTAAAGGAACATAAACTGGCATTGCTTTCTTAATAGGGTCAACACACCTTGTGTTTAATCATGTGAGATGGCAATTAAGAAATACACACACTATTATACTAAACATGAAATTGAATACTGTTGACTGTTCGTTTTTGTGTCTATTCTCTGAAGATGTTGAGGGCAATGCTTCTTCTTGCTGGCTTCCTCCTGTTGAGAGTTGAAGGACAGCAACCTAATAACCTGCCTAGTAATGGTAAGAATATAAACTTAATGATTTCAATTGGTTACTCACCTGATGTAGGTGTTCAATTGTATCTACCTTATGAGGACAGGATAATACCTGATTACTCTATGATATATGCTAGCCAGTTTTATGATATTGATCAGAATAATGATGTTAATGATACCAATGATGCTTTGTGGTGTCAGAGTGCTAACAATGTTACTAATATTGGAGTGTGGTATTATCCTAATAGAACTGAAGTACCTTTATTTGATGGACCCTTTGATGATCCATCAGCTCCTAGACCAGTGTACAGTAAGAGATTTAGTGGTCAGATTGCACTAGCTAGAAGAGGTGGACTATCAGGATATGAAGGTTTATACAAGTGTATCATTCCTGATGAAAATGGAGTGAATCAAACACTAGTGGTTGGAGCATATACTGATACTGGATACAATAACAATGGTATGTGATGAATATAGACTATAATTAATGTACTTCTTTTACAGATGGTCCTGATGCTGATCCTACTATGCAGTTCTTTCTCCTCTCTGCTAGTAGATTAGCTACTCCTCCAGTCTTCAGTCTCAGTTTCAATGTCTCTGGTGGTCCTCCTACTACTGTCAGTTGTTCAGTGAATGGGAATGGAATATCTACTGAACTGTCTCGTGTGATAGTGAATGGATCAGGATCTGTTACAAGAGTGACAGTAACAGTGAGACTGAGAGAAGCTGGTAACTATCAGTGTACTGTATCTAATGACGGAGTAACTAATGGACCTATTAGTGGTAATAGTGGTCCTAATGCTGTTAACAGTACTTCATCATTTGATATATCAAGTTAGTCATTAGTATTGCTAATATTATTGAATTATATTGTCAGTATCTGATACTCCAACTGGTTTAACTGCTACAAGATTAAGTACTGGTTTAGCTCATGTAAGACTCTCCTGGTCTCCTGTATCAGGAGCTACTGGTTATGAGGTCTACTATCAACTGTTTAGTAATACTCCTGTTAGTGTATCCAACACTAGTAATACAACAATTAATATAACATCATCATTGTCTCAAGGAAATACATACACTTTCTATGTAGTATCTTATGGATCAGCTTCTCTACCTAGTGGCAATGCTTCAGTTATGTTAACTATTAGTAAGTTATTATTATAGTACCAAATAGCTCCAAATTTTCGTCAGTCAAAAATTTCATCAAAATCTTAATTTCTTGTTAAAATTAATTTTTGTCAATAAAATTTTCGTCATTTTTGTTACTAATTCACATACTACTCATGTGGAACATAAATTTCGTCAATTAAAAATTTAGTCAGGCAAAAGTACCCTACGAAAATTTTGATCAAAAAAAATTTGGAGCTATACGGTAATGAACATGCACATGTATTATTAATAATTTTAGGCCATCAAGTGGCTGATTTTATGGCTACAGTTATTACAGCTTCTACCATTATATTAACATGGAGTCCACCAACTGCTGTAGTACCAAATAATTATAATATTAATAGGAGATGTAGGAGAGTATGTGAATCATCATTCACTAGTAATAATGAAACATCAGTTTCATCACCACATACTTCAACTGGTATACCTCCTTACAGTCAATGTGACTTTGATCTTATTGGAGTATATGAAGATGATATGGTAGCTTTCAATGCTAGTACCGTAACTACATCCTTTACTGGTATGATATCAAAGTAGTATTATTATATTCATATTCCTATAGCTTCTACTGCACCAGTGGATGATATTCTATTCTCATCAGTAGAGTCAGTGTCAATGACTGTCTCATGGGATGAAGTACCTTGCAATGGAAGGAATGGACCAATCACTGGATACTACCTCACATACACTAACATCACTTCAAACACTAGTTATACTGTTAATATCACTGGAGGAGACAACAGAATGTATAATCTCACAGGATTAATACCATATACTAACTATACTGTGAGTATAAAACCTTATAATTATAATATGAATGGACCAGCTAGACAAGAAATACAATTAACTCCTGAATCAAGTAAGCCAACACGAGATATTGATCACTTTAACATGATCTTAACACAGTTCCTGGTCTGATATCTGATCTAATACAAACAAATGCTGCACTAACTGAGATCAGTATCTCATGGAATCCTCCTACAATACCTAATGGTATCATTACAGTATATGAGATAAGATATAGAGAGTCTACCAGTACTGGTCCAGGTCCATACAATATAACTAACACTACTAACACTTATTACAGTATAGTAGGATTGATACCTAATACTAGTTATACTATTGGAGTAAGAGCATATACTAGTATTGGACCAGGAGAATGGACTAATGAATTATTCTCAACTAATGAAATAGGTAAATTTTCCATTAAAATTTAGCATTATATTATAATACACTATTTTCATAGCAAGTATAAGCAATTTCACTCTTGTGCATCTCAACTCAACTACTGTACAAATGAATTGGCTACCCATTCCAGGGGCCAGTTACTACATTATCTATTACAGCAGCGAGTTTGATGATGACTCAATGAATGTTAGCAATGAAACAAATGAAGTTATTATACCAGAGTTATACTCATGCCTCAGTTACTCATTTGAGATGTCAGTGACTATTGAAGTAAATGAAATTTATTATGAAGGACCTAGAACTGTACCAACAGGTAAAGCAATGATAATATTACAATAGAACTGAACTTTCACTATCACTGTTTATCATCATCAACAAGTACATGTAGATCTAAAATGATTTGTCAATTTATTTTAAAGCAATTATATCAGTAATGAGTTTATGCTTTATAGTTTCTGGTTCTACTGATACCATGACTACTGCTTTGACTGTGTCAACTACTGTATTAGTGAATAATGGAGGAAGTATTACTGGATGGATAGTCAGTGTGACAGTATTAGCATCACTATTGGCTGTATCTATAATTATTATACTGGTACTGGTTGTGTATATAAAAAGAACTAATATTAACCAAAAAAGGTAAATGTGTACACATTCATTACTCAATTGATTTTAAAACCAATAGAAAATCAGATAATGACATTTTAATGGAGTGCAGTCCAGCTTATGCTACAACTGAATTTAAAACAAAGTTAGTTACACTATTGACTATTACATTATGTCTATACACACACACATACAGTACTGCTGATGATGCACCAGTGAAAGATGGTCCAACATACAATACAGTACAACAAACACAGTCAGTTATATAAAATACAATTATTATTATTATTTAAAGTTATTATTAATAGATCAACTGTTGAGTCAGTGTATGATACAACTTGGCCCAAGACTACTACTTCACCTGCTGAATATGAAATACTAACAGTTTCATGATTTGGTACACAATGCAACATTAAAGTGTTTCCTTGTCATAAATTTAAACTTTAAAGTAGCAAAAGATTTCAGAACAGTTTAGTAGTACTTCATCATTGAGTATACCAAATTTTACATTTTACAATAAATAAAATTCTTTGTGTGAGTATCTGCTATTATTAATGCATTTTTTCAAAGTACAAGTAAGTATTTGCTAGTATCAGATCCTTTTCTGGGGAGTTTTCCCTTGCAAAGCTGCCCTTGATCATAACTGCAGTGCTCTTTAGGAAGTAACTTTTATATATTATTATTAATGTATCTATTTATTTAATACTATAAAACTGAATGTACAAGTTTTGAAAAGGAAGTAACATGGAGGTGGTGGTGTGTATCAACTGTTACAGTGTTACATAAACTTCCATGACATGTGTTTCCTGATGTTATAGCCTTATGTAGGAAGAGTTTAAGTTTCCTGTGAAGATGTTGAGGGCATTGCTTCTTCTTGTTGGTTTCCTCCTGTTGAGAGTTGAAGGACAACAACCTAATAACCTGCCTAGTAATGGTAAGAATATAAACTCAACTAGTAGTTTTATTGGATTATTTAAATGATATATATACAGGCATTCAATTGTATCTACCTTATGCAGATCGGATAATAACTGACTACTCTATTATATATGCTAGTCAGTTTTATGATATTGATCGGAATAATGATGTTAATGATATCAATGATGCTTTGTGGTGTCAGAGTGCTAACAATAGTACTGACATTGGAGTGTGGTATTATCCCAATGGAACTGAAGTACCTTTAATTGATGGTAGCTTGCCTGATCCAACAGCTCCCAGACCAGTGTACAGTAAGAGACTGAGTGGTCAGATTGCATTAGCTAGAAGATATGGACTATCAGGATACGAAGGTTTATACAAGTGTATCATTCCTGATGAGAATGGAGTGAATCAAACACTAGTGGTTGGAGCATATACTGATACTGGATACAATAACAATGGTATGAGATGAATATAGACTATAATTAATGTACTTCTTTTACAGATGGTCCTGATGCTGATCCTACTATGCAGTTCTCTCTCCTTTCCACTAGTAGATTAGCTACTCCTCCAGTCTTCAGTCTCAGTTTCAATGTCTCTGATGGTCCTCCTACTACTGTCAGTTGTTCAGTGAATGGGAATGGAATATCTACTGAACTGTCTCGTGTGATAGTGAATGGATCAGGATCTGTTACAAGAGTGACAGTAACAGTGAGACTGAGAGAAGC